AATAAAAACAGTATTCTTCCACCAAACAATTTAGTTCCTCAGAAACAGTTGTGGTTCCAACAAAGTGGTTGCCGAGCAACACACAGAAGCAAACAAAGGTGTATGTTTGTGGTGTAATTTACAACAGCTTCGAACGCGGCTCAACCAATCAGAATCAAGGACCGGAACTACCCGTTTTATAATTAAGTTTTAATAACATTTCTCATGAAATATTTCTCAAAACATTTTTTTTTTCAGGTTTATCAAGTAGCTATAAATAAGTAAGTAATAAAACAAAGAACAAATAGCATGCAAGAGAACAAATAAAAACAATAGCAGAATTAATGAAGTAAAGTTCTGGAAAGTTGTCAGGTATTAGCCGCAGTAAGCAATGTAAGCAAATGTAATATATGACAGCTGTATTATGTAATAAAAAAAAAAAAACATAGGACAGGGGGGAAATGTCATACTTTATATTTTTATAGCTTGGCTTAAACTTTATTAAACTTAACATTTTGTGCATTTTGTCTGCACAATCTGTTTGTTTATCAGATCCGCATCGACAGCAATAACGAGAGGAGCGTCCACACCAGCCGAAGCTCTCTGGCTCTGGCAGGAGACAGCAGAGGAAACCGGCAGAGACCCATAAAGGACCGAGTGATGAAGAAAGACAAGCAGGACGGCCCGGACAGCCAAGCCGTTGTGAACGGCATTTCTTAGAGAATAACGTGCCCCCCTTCCCCCATTCTCCCACTCAGCTCCACCAATCCAGATGCTTCTTCATTAGAGACACATTAGGCCAAAGAGAACCAGGTCAGTAGGGCTGTCGCAAGACATGACATAAAGCACACTTTGTAATTGTTAGTTGGGGTAAAAGACGAGGTCTCTTGGTGTATGGTGTGTTGGATTTGGTAGTCTTCATGGATTAGAGAGACCGGTCTCTACATCACAACTGAAGCTACAGGTTTTCTAATTGACTTTCTAAACAACTACCTAAGAAACATAAAGAAGCTGTGGATTAAATGTCTCTCAAAAATGAAATCCTGAAATGTTTTCCAAGCAATTGGTTTTTAAAGTTTTTTTTTGTTTTGTTTTCCACAATGTCCAAACAAAAGGGAAAGAAACACATTGGAGGATGAACTCAAGCGCTCGGGGCCCAAGTTTATGCCACATCTCATGGCATACGTTGTTTTTACGCGCTTTGGTGTCCATGGTTACTCGAGCCCATTCTGATGTGAGATCTTAGCCACATCATTAGCAAAAAAACAATGGCAAACATGTAAAAAAAAATAAAACGCTCCTGTCTGGATCTGTGCCTTTACCTAGTGTGGATAGTATCATCATTTGGATGTTTAAATCAGGGAAGAAGATGTGAACAACCTGTCTTGAGCAACGTGTGTTGCAATCTCAGCCGACAACTAAAAAAAGGTGTTGTTTTTTTTTCGGTTGCATGTATTTCACCAACATTTTGTATGTCTGAAAAGCAGGATTCTATCAAGTCGGCTGAATTCTTATATTTTGCCATAGCTGAATTGTGTGTAGTAAAGGTATTAACCTAACTAAACTAGTCAACTGTGGAAGTCATAAATTGTAACCAACCACCCAGAGAAGAATATCAGTGCTAATTCAGTGGCGTCAACATCACCGAATATGAATTGATTTTGACATTTAACATATCTTTGCATTATAGGACAATTTTTTTTTTTTTTTTTATAGAGGTAGCAAAGCAGTTTCCTTTAAAAATACATGTCTCTCATTTTACTCCCATCATGATAAATGACACAAAGTGGACTTGATCAGACTTTTTTTTTTTCCTCACCCACAGGGTGGAAATGCTCGTTTTCGTTTCTGTTCATGCTGGCCACAGTAAACTGCCATCTTTCCTGCTGTATTTTTCAGCATCAGGTGTGAAGCACTTATATCAGATCTCTGTAACATTGTCTGTGTCCTAACAATGGCTTATCATAGACTGAAAATGTTGAACTGTGGGGTTGCATACTGTATATTACGTCATCCGTTAAGAGATTGTTGCTGTTCTTTTTAGATTGAACTTTAAATGTGCACTTATCATGTTTGTGTTACTCTGCAAGTACTTTATAATCTATAAACCTATAATAAACTAGAATGTGATGAGACTTCCTCAGCAGGTGAATCACATGTATGCTGTCAACATAACTAAACAGAAGTTTAGATATCTTCGCTAATTTTGAGTCTACTGTACCTTTGCAGCTGAATTCGCTTGGAGAGGGACGAGAAGGGGGAACACGATGTTAACTTTGATATGAAAACCGTCTGTCTTATCCGATTAGTGCTTGTGCATTAAACTTTAGTTTACATTTCCGAGAAGATGCGATTCTCTCCAAACCTACTGTGACGGTGACCATGGTTGTTTTTTCCGCTTTCCTTTGATTGTACAGCAAGAAAACCGTTCGTTTCGAGTCGGTTGTATCCTCTTTGCTCTTTTTCTCTACGTTTCCAGTTCTCTTTGCGCTCCTGTACTCGCGCTAGTCACATTGGCGGATAACCAGCTCTACCTGTTAAGCTTATACACCAGTTTCAAAGTGATTTGCCTGTGAAAACGAAGTGAAAGCTGAAAAGAACCTGTGACTGGCAGAGAATCTGTGGCTCTGTGGATTGGGAAAGACAAACCACTCTCTTGACGGAGGTGGCCCCAGATGCGCCCGGCCCCTCTCGTGTGGCTCTTAAAAATTTGGCCTTTACTTCAAAATAAGGTGTTAAATGGTTTTCTCTCAGTATTTTTAAAACCTGCACGTCCACGGCAGGCAGTAAAACTGGCAAGATGGCGCAGTTCACTGCAGTCTGTTAAAAAAAAACAACAACAAAAAAGTTGCGAATCTTTGAAATGTTGCCAAACAGACTGTTTTCTAGTTATTTATTTTTTTTGGAATGTATATTAAAATGACAAATTGTAAAACCATCTCTTGCACACATCGTAGGCTGTTGTGATCGAAAAAGAGCTGAAAAAAAAAAATTTAAACATGAAATACTGTAGATACTGAACTGAGGTAGACTGACCTTGTATGTTACTGCACTTTGGGTAATAATTTCTTTGTACATAATAGCAGAACAGACTGGGTTTTATGTTGACATTGTTTGGTTATAGTGCAATATATTTTGTATGCAAGCAGTTTCAATAAATAAAGGTTGATCTTCCTCTGCAATCTGAAGTGTTTTTATTCCTCGCGGGGAATCGGTCGTTTTATATTCCATATGTGGTGATAAATCTGCCCATCATTAAACACGACAGCCGATTTAATCAGGCCTTTCTATAGCATGTTGACATCAGCAGACTCCTCTCCATCTTAAATCTTACTATTGCTGGCTTTGTGTGTGTTGGTCTGTTTTCTTTGTTGCACCACTTGGTGGCGCTGTGGCACAGGCTAAATCCTGCACAATAATGCCACTGCAACTGTTCCTGTAATGAATGCTGGCAGTAACATCAGCATCAGGGTGAATGCAGGTGAATTGGGACACTTTTTGACATTGAGATGATTGACCTGAATTAAGATTGTTTTTGTGTGTGTGTGTGTGTGTGTGTGTGTCTTAAAGGGTTAGTTCACCCCAAAATGAAAATTCTGTCATTAATTACTCACCCTCATGTCGTTCTAAACCTGCAAGACCTCCGTTCATCTTCGGAACACAAATTAAGATATTTTTGATGAATTCTGAGAGCTCTCTGACCCTCCCATAAACAGCAATGTAATTACCACGATCAAGATCCAGAAATGTAGCAAAGAGATCGGTAAAATAATCCATGTGACATCAGGGGTTCAGCCGTAATTTTACAAAGCTACGAGAATACTTTTTGTATGCAAAGAAAACAAAAATACACTGTAAAATCGAATTGGTTGGGCTTACTTAAAAAAAAAAAGCATGCAAACCGATTGCCTTAAAAAAACTAAGTAAAGTGAAATAGGAATAGTATGTTGTACTGACAAATGCTCAGTTAGTATAGTTTACTTACACGAGAGTTCTAGTAACTAAAAAAGAACTGTAGGGGGTACTTGATCCTTTCATTTAGGTTTACTCATGACTTAGTATAGCTACTCACTGACTCCCAGAGTGCATTGCGGCATGAATAAATTATGCAGTTGCTTTGTTTTACAGTTGTTGATTTTATTTGCCAATTTTATTTGCTGTCTTGTGTCAATAGTAGCACAACAAAAAGAGCAAATAAAATGGTTGTTGTTACAATTAATGAAAATAAATGAAATTGAATCGTTACCATCGTTGTGATTCACGTGCTGAATGTTTAAGTCTGTGTGTGACTTCAGCATATCACCACACACCATTTAAGGATTATATAAACCCAAATTAAAAGCATCTTAAGGTATTTATGAAAAATAAAATTTGAAAAAGCTCATTAATAAACACACACAACAAAATACACTAATGCTTTAATTAGAAGATTGGTCACCTTCTAAAAGCAACCTATTTATTAATATTCTTCCCTTGATATCAAATAACTCTGACTTCATGATGCATTGCTGCATTAACAGGAAGAAAATTATAGTAACATAAAGTTCCAAGTGCCCAACCAAAGGGAATGCTAATCACTATAATGGTGAGTAAAAAAAAAAACAAGTTCCAAGTGCCCAACCAAAGGGAATGCTAATCACTGTAATGGTGAGTTTAAAAAAAACACATTTTAGGAAAATCAACATCTATTTATGAAGTTAGCTTATGTGATGTTCTCTCAAATATTTCAGTTGTATTGAGAATTCAACATTCAAGATGACTTTGGGAAACGAGTGAATGCAACTAGTGAAAGATAACTGCAGACATGGAGGAAATGGGTGAAAAGTCTATTAAGACTCTTTTTCTTTTCTTCTTCTTCTGTTGTTATGTTGCACATTAGCAACATATTAGTGCACTGCTGCCTCTCACTGCTTTATTAATGTCATTGGTTCCTTTGTGGCTACTTGAATATTTTAAGTAAGTGTCACTCAAAACAGTAAGTAAATTGTTTTGTTTGCCTTGAAAGTAGCTGTAACTTAATAAAACCTAGTAAGTATAACAACTAAGTAAAGATTACTAATTCAATCCAAGTAAGGTAAACTATTGGATTTTACAGTGTAACGACTTTATTCAACAATTCGTCTCATCTGTATCACCCTGGTGCCATTTTGGAGAATATCCACTGAACGTAAACAGCGTATGCTATTCTGTCGACTGCGTCACGTGGATACGTTTTCTACGTTGTTTACGCTTTGATTTGAACGAAAACAACGTATCCGCGTGATGCAGCTGACACAGAATAGCATACGCTATTTACGTTCTCCAAACATAAATATTTTCCAAAATGGCACCAGGGTGACGTGGAGGAGACGAATTGTTGAATAAAGTCGTTATTTTTGTTTTCTTTACGTACAAATCGTTGATTGTGGTAATTACATTGCTGTCTATGGGAGGGTCAGAGAGCTCTCAGAATTCATCAAAAATATCTTAATTTGTGTCCCGAAGATGAACGAAGGTCTTACTGGTTTAGAACGACATGAGGGTGACTAATTAATGACAGAACTTTCATTTTTGGGTGGACTATCCCTTTAAGAAGTCTCTCATGCTCATCACGGCTGCATACATTTGATCAAAAATGCAATAAAACAGTAATATGGAAATATAAAATCATAAAATAATTGAAGACTAGCTGTTTTAAATAAGCTGAACATAGTACAGTACAAATGTATGTTGTAGAAATGTAGTTGTTTTTAACATCAGTAATATTATAATGTATTAGTTTTGTTCGTCTTCAAGTGAACATTGTAATAATTGATTGCTTAGAAGACTAATAGCACACCTCTGCTCAATTAGCTGCATAATTAAAAGTATCATTCATGTAATTGGCTTGGCATGTGTTGCACACTAAGGTTTAATAAAGTACTAAGCATGAGCAATAGTAACAGTGATACTCGCCTTATTTTAAGGTTTCATGGGTTCATATCAGTCTCGTCTCTTTCCGTTCCACATTGCCACATTGATGGAACTGCATGTGGTTTGTAAGTATTTAACTGTGAATCTGTAAAGAGGGTCCACATTGGCTATTTAAATGTCTTAATGTTTCTCTGCCTTCTCGGACACTCTTCTGCTAGACAGAGTACAATTGGAAAGGAAAAAAACTGATTTGGTCCCGTATCACTGGATTTCCACAAGAGCTGACAGAAATTTAGCCACTCTGCCTTTTTGCAGGAGGAAAGGGCCAATTACCTCTGGCCCCAAACAAAGTCTTTTGGAGCCCTTACCCTAAAATCCACCCAATGGG